GTCTAGCATTAAGGCAAGCCTGGACCATGACGACCAATACCTAGAACAATATTATCATAATCTAGGGTTCTACTCATTGGGTACAATAGCGCCAATAGCATTGGTTTGTTTTGCCGTGTACAAGTGTTACAAGCGTAAGCATAATTCGACATCAACGACGCCGGCTCTCACGCCGAACTCGGTGTCGTCCGCGGTAAACATCCAGTTAGAACCGCTGGTATCAAGGCCAGATAGCCTCAGAGCGGCATTAAATAGAGCACGCGAAAGGCGTTTTCGCTGGGCCGACCAGTACCCGCAAGACAGAACCAATGCTACGGGCAGACACCCCGGTTACATTAAGGGAATTGTACCCAAAATGATCATGGAAGCTGTGCTCCACTAGGATAATGACCAGAATCAAGTCTTCACTCGAGGCCACCAGAGGCGAACGCCGTGTAGAAATTGTGCGATTTTCTTTAAGGGGGGAGGAATGTTGTGCTGGGAGTCTCTCGACCCCATTGAGAAACGCCATGCCAAGTAGTTCACGCGTGTAGCAATGCGCTAAGTCAGAACTAAAGGCGGCCTGGCAACCGAGATGTGGAAATCGAAAAATCGCACAATAATCACTTTTCGGAAATCCAGCTTATGGCTGTACGTCCGAAAACCGACAGTCTACAGTTAAAATCCGAACGGATAAGGTGGTCTCGTGGAGTAGACTCGGTACAGGAAATAGGAGGACCGAACGGTGCCTATATTTTTCCAAGTCGACGTACGTCGACATACTGTACAACACATTTGATTGTTTCAATAAACCTTCTCAGTTTTGTTCTATTCACGCGAGTTTTAACTCCTTAACCGGCAACGATCCCAAAAATATCTTGACCCTAACCTCTCGAACGAACTCCTCCGTCACCGAGACGTTACGGCACAACATACGTCACAAATGCGACAACCCACAAGTCAGTGCGAATTAAGAAACAAATCCTGGCCAAGACAAACATAGCAGGAGAAGGGTTAGACACCATATTTATGGTGATCCCAAAACTAATAAGAACCTGCATAATCGGAATAGACTTCCTACGGATACACCAGGGGAAGATCGACCTCCGAGAAAACAAAATCTACCTGAGTAACAAGGACGAACAATTTTCGATCTCCTTGGCTCAGCCGATGGAACAACCCAGCACGAAGGACTTAATTCCAGAATGCAACCCCATAAAGAAAGAAGAACTCCAAGTACAAGACTCAATAACGATCCAAGAAGTCGAGGAGAAACTTGCCGGCTGCACTAAACTCAGCCCGTTTCAATTAGACCACTTTAAGAAGACAATATGGAAATATCGAGGTGTTTTTAATAAGCAACCAGGCAGAATGAGCATCTATGAACACAAACTGAATGTGTCAGATGAAAAACCATTCGCTAACCGCTCCTACCCGATACCAGTGAAACTTCGAAATGCCGTCGAAAAAGAAATTGAACGGATGCTAAATTACGGTATCATCCAAAGGTCTAATAGCCCGTACGACAATCCGATTCTCCCGTCAACAAGAAGGATGGATCCGTCAGATTGTGTATTGACGCCCGCAAGCTAAATGAACTCCTCGTCGCGGATGCAGAATGTCCTCAAACTACTGAAGAACTCTTCCAAGGATGCAGCGGGATGAAGATGATGACGAGTTTGGATCTGGTCAGTAGCTTCTCGCAGATCCCACTCCATCCAGATTCAAGAAGGTACACCGCCTTCCTACATAAGGGAAAAAGTTACGAAATGAAAGTAACACCATGCAGACTGAAGACAAGTAGTACCTGCTTAATAAGAAGAGGGGACTACACCTTACATGGGCTGGGGGACAACACCATCAACTTCGTAGATGACATCCCGTGCGTTTATAAATCATCCGAGAAACAATGTAAATAGAAACCCGGTAAGAGGCATGAGCCTAGCCAGTGAATTAGATTTGGCGGAAATCCTCGAACAAAATCCTGTAGATCCAGACGCAAACGCAAAAGCGTTGATAGAATTAAGACATAGGGTGCGCTATCTAGAACGCGATAATCACGAATTAAGAAAAATCATTAAGGAAAGACTACCGCGGAATCTGCTAGAACTGATACAAGCAGAAATGCAGAAGTCAGGACGAGAGCACCAAGAAGCTCAGCAAAGACAGCAGGTAGATATCGCGAGTACAAGGATAGATATCGCGAATCTAGAAATTAAACACCATAAGTTAGATAATATTATACAGGATCTAAGGGAACAAATGGAGAGGATCTCACACCGTGAAACGGTCAAACGAAAGTTTAGGAATAAGCTTTTTAAGACCCAACGCACTATCGAAAAACGTTACAATATATATATTGTGACGTGGTGGATTTCACCCGTCTTGTCCTCGGCGGAAAATCACGCCGAAACGCGATACGGGCCGAAAGGCCATTGCAAAGTCCAGGCAGGATCCACCGACCGCAAGGGCCTAATTGAAAGTTCGATAGATTATTTTATTATTTTCTTTTGTTTTGCGTGTACTCTGCCGGAGTTCGAATAGGTGCTCGCTCGCCGTGCCCGTGAAGACGCGGAGAACGAGAGAGAGGGAGCCAGCTGGAGTCCCTGGAGGAAGGGAGCTGCGACACGCGAGGATCGACACTCGCGCTATCTGCGGACAGCAGCTCTACTGGCCCAGGAGGCGCGCGCAACGCGGGACAGCTTGACGTCACGCGGCAGCAACGCGCACTACTCCGCTGGTACTCAACCACGACGACTGGAAGCGGCGTACACAGCGCCACCCGACTGAGCACCACTACCGACCCCTATGGCATAGCGCCCATCGTCAGTTGCGCATTATATATTTCGCAGAATTATATTTCCGCGAGTTGGGAATCCAGGGACGCCTGGTGCACCCTCGCGCAAGAACGAATGTTACTCTTCGTAGGACCGAGCGGTACGAATTGTCCACAAGAGATGAAAATTATTAATTGTC